TAATAATAATAATAAAACAATAATAACCATGACTGATAATAATAATAATAATAATAAAACAATAATAACCATGACCAATAAGAAACAACAAATATTATCGAAACACGTCCCAAAGCAGAAGAGAGCCGCTGATGCAAAAGGCTGGAGACAGACAAAGGCTTTATAGAGGAGAAGGAGCGGGTTCTGGATATGCCTGAGAGGGAATTCAGAAGAATGATATGGAAACAAATTCAAATACGCCGAAAAGGGGTCGAGGAAAATAAGGAAGAAGTAAGGAAAGTACTGTAGGAACAATCTAATAGGATTGACACAGCTTTGGAAACAATCCAAAACCTGCAAAAAGATGTCCAGGTGATCAATAATAAGATATCAGAAATGGACAATAGTCTGAAAGGGGAAAGGAGCAGACTAGAAGAGATGGAAGCCAGAACTAGCGAACTGGAAGACAAATCTCCCAATACTGCCAAGATAGAAGAGCTAGCAGCTAAAAGGATAAAACAATCTGAAGAGAGTCTAAGATTCATGCTGGATAACATGAAGAGAACAATGTAAGAATTATTGGCATTCCGGAACAAGAAGAAGCAGAGAAATCCACAGAAGAGATAGTTGAAAAGCCTCTGGAAGAAAATTTCCCTAACATCTTGAAAGATGAGAAGATAAACATTCAAGAAGCCCAACGTACCCCTGGAAGGATAGACCCCAAAAGAAAGTCTCCAAGACATATAATAATCAATACAAATATAGACAATAAGCTGATGTATATAACTGTTGTAGTCATCCATTGTTGTTATTAAGTGCTGTCGAGTTGGTTCCAACTCATAGTGACCCTGTGTAGGGTTTCTGAGGAACAGCTTGTGGATTTGGACTGCTTAGCTACAGTGCCTCACCAGGGTTCTCATATGGTTATATAGATTTTCTTCTAGTTTTAAAGATGGTATCTAGTTTTTAAAAACAGCTTCTTCAATTAAGGAGCCCTGGAGACACAGTGGTTAAAGTGTGTGGTTGCTAACCGCTAACTCATCAGCTGCTCTGCGGGAAAGGATATGGCAACCTGCATCTGTAGAGATTACAACCTTGGAAACCCTGTGGGTCAGTTCTACTCCACCCTACAAGGAGGCTGGCTATGAGCCAAAATTGATGCAACAGCAATGGGTATTTTTGAATACATCTGGAACTAACTCAGATGTACAAGGAACTCTGGTAGCATAGTGGTTACGAGTCGGGCTGCTAACCTCAAGGTCAGCAGTTCAAAACTATCAGCTGTTCAGCAGGAGAAACAGGAGGCTTTCTGCTCCTGTAAAGATTTACCGCCTCAGAAACCCTGTACAGGGTTGCTGTGATTTGGAGCTAACTCCACAGCACACCACCACCCTTCAGATGTATAATGAATAATTTCCTAATTGCACTCAGAGACATAACCATTGTCTGAGTAATGCTGCTTTTCCCTAGTGGCGTGATGGGATTTTTTTTCACTACATTCTATGTACCACATAGGTTGTTATTAGCTCGTATTTGATTTGACCTACAACTCATGGTGACCCTGTGCAGCATGGAACAAAACACTGAAGACACTCAATGTGCACAATGGAACAAAATACTTAATGCACACAATGGAACAAAAGACTCAAAATACTCAGTGTGCACCATGGGACAAAACACTCAAAATACTCAGTGTGCACCATGGAACAAAACACTCAAAATACTCAGTGTGCACCAT